CTATACCCTATAAGAATATTTCACCACTGCAATCAGAGATCTCACCTATACACAACAAGAATATTTCACTAGTGCAATACAAGATCTCTGCACACTAACAATATTTCACCACTGCAATCAGAGATCTCATCTATACACTTTAAGAATATTTCACTAGTGCAATACAAGATCTCTGTGCACTAGAAGAATATTTCACTAGTGCAATACAAGATCTCTGCACACTAAACATATTTCACCACTGCAATCAGAGATCTCGCCTATACACAACAAGAATATTTCACTAGTGCAATACAAGATCTCTATACACAATAAGAATATTTCACCACTGCAATCAGAGATCTCATCTATACACTATAAGAATATTTCACTTGTGCAATACAAGATCTCTTTACCCTATAAGAATATTTCAGTAGTGCGATACAAGATCTCTATACACAATAAGAATATTTCACCACTGCAATCAGAGATCTCACCTTTACACAACAAGAATATTTCACTAGTGCAATACAAGATCCCCTCTATGCACCGTAAGAATAGTGCATCGGTGCAATTGTGTCTCCTGCAGTTAGACGGAGCAGCCACTGGAACGAGCACTGAATTGCTCTGACACTTCACTGATCACTGCTGTGCAGACTTTCGTGGGCCTGACCATCCTTCACTGTCATCGAGGTGCATCTGAAGTGCTGTAGCAGTGTGTACCGTTGGCATCCAAGAATGAGCACAGTTCAAATGTTCGATCTTTCAGAAGGGGGTGTGGGGGAGAAGGGGGGGTGGGTAATGTTTGTTTCAGGGGGTACTCATTTCTCAACCTTTTCCTATTGCAATTAAAAAGCAGCTCTGGCATTTTCAATTCTTCGATTTATCAATAATCCAGCTCTCGAGCAGCTACTTCTGTCACAGACACACTCTGCCCTGGTCCTGGCGGGGTCAGTGTGTGTGTCTGCAGAGTCTCCAGGGGTCTTTAAAGCAGGGCTTTCCAGTCCTGGTCCTGGAGGGGTCAGTGTGTGTGTGTCTGCAGAGTCTCCAGGGGTCTTTAAAGCAGGGCTGTCCAGTCCTGGTCCTGGAGGGGTCAGTGTGTGTGTGT